ATGGAGACCAGAAAGTAGCTGAAGAAATATAAAAAAAATTAAATAAATAAATATGATATACTTTCCTTTTATTCTCAATTTACTAATTCTAGCAGCATAAGGATTAATAATAATCATTGTTGATTGAGAGAGTGAAGTTCCGCTTTTAGGTAAACGTCAAGGAAAGAAAGATCCACTTAAACCTACCAAATAAAGTCATAGATATATAAAGGTGCTCATGCAAATGAATATCTGAACGGGGAGGCTGTGATTGACCCTGGGAAACGTTGATCTTCATAGGTATCAGCACCTTTCAATGAAACAACAGGCTCAATCATGAGACTGTAGAAAATGTCACATCAAAACAAGGAACTGAGATCAGAAACTGCCTTTCATTGAAAGGTTCTTAGCCACTTGCTGTCTGGGGCAATTTTAAAATAATTTTCGCACATGTGAAAATCAGCATTATTTGCTAAAATAAATACTTAGCAAAATTACTCAAAAGCAACAATACGCAGAGGCCCTGTAGAATAAAATTGTGGCAGTTCCAGTTTTTCCCTGAAGGAAACCAGCCAACTAGAGTGACAAGCTGCGAATATGTATATCCATCTCCTGTGTTTTCAATTGAGAGGCAGCTGGTAGGGTGTGAGAGGTCTAAATCAGAGGCACCATCACTCCTGTGCTGTGTACATTACTTATTATACATGATAAGCATATCATGAGTCGCCTTGGAGTTTGTCCAGCCATGTGACTTTATAATATCAGCAGTTCACTGAGTTCTAACATCTTTAGTCTGACTACTAGGAGGCATTTTTATGTGATGAAGTTTTGGTTTGCTTTTTCCCTTTTGTACAGTTTTTTGCAGTTCTGTATAAATCACCATTATAAACAAATTCACAATCTATTAGATTTTTCTGCAATATGATCCAGAAAGATCAACGTGTCAACTACTATTACAACTACTTAATATATATTTGCCAAATGAGGAATTTTTAAGGAGTCCATGTTATATTATTGCAATCCTAATCAATTATGTCGAATCACATATCTTTTATTTATAGTATTCATATAAAAAAAAATACTCCTTTAAAAAGACATTCAAGGAAGCCATTTTTAAAAGAGAATAAGAACAGCTGTTACATTCACAATATTCCTCTATTGGTATCTCATATTTTAGGATATCAAATGACAGTCTATCACAAAATATAACACAGATTTTTCAGCCGGATGGTGGCTATATTTATAATTGTAACAAGTTTTGCACATGAGAGAAAACCTTGTGGTGTCGCTCCAAGCTGGGAAGCAATAGAGGGTCACCCCGTCAGTATTTGGAAAAAGGGAACAACATTTTCAAAATAGTTCCAGTGACTCCAATGTTATTATTATTATTATACAGGATTTATAAGGCGCTAACAGTTTGCTCAGCGCTTTACAGTTTAACGGGGGACAATACAGCAACAATACAGTTCAATACAAGAGGGATAGGAGGGCCCTGATCCTGGGAGCTCACAATCTAGGAGGGAGGGGCTAGTGGTACAAAAGGTAGTAACTGTGGGGGATGGACTGGTTGGAAGAGTAGAAGATTCCATTATTAGCTGAGGGCAGGATAGGCTTCCCTGAAGAGATCGGTTTTTAGAGATTGCCTAAAAGTGAGTGTTGTGAAGAGACGGACACCGCTCAAACCAGCCCAGAGAGTCCAGTGTATAGGATATCCCCAGCCGCCACTCTGACCACACCCTCTGATGTTTCACCCCGCCCACCTCTGTGGCTTATCCCCTGTGGGCAGGATGAAATGCAACAGTGGGCGTGGCTGGAGCGGCAGCTGAGGCCATTCTATACACCGAACTCTCTGGGCTGGTTTGAGCGGCGTCTGTCCCTTCACAAGTTTTGCAAATTACTTCTGCAGACAGAAATGGCAATAATCTTTAAAACATATATTAGGGCACACCACTATAGGCAGACCAGATCCCCATGGGACTACAGGAGATCCATTGGACCAGAACACGTAGGATTCCTAAGAAACCCAACTTCTCGTTTCTCTTTCTTTCTAATATAGACTTATTATTCCAAACTGATCCTAGAGAGTGACCGGTAGTTTTTTTTTAGGTATTCTCTTGTCTACTATCTCTTCTATCACTCTGTTATAGAGGTATACTGTAGCGGATTATGTTTGATCAAGAGCATTCTGTTCTATATTAGATGGAATTATGTAGCTGAGTGCAGATCCTTTGTGATAGAGACGTCATATGAGGTGAGCAAGGCCTCATGGTTCCTAAATCCCCATTGCGTGCTCCATTTAAATGTACAGAGGGAATCAAAAATGGATTATTATTATTATTATACAATGGTTTTATATATTATTTATATAACAGTTTGAGTGGCACTTTACAGAATAACAAGAGACGAAACAATTGCAATTCAATATAAGAGGAATAGGAGCACCCTGACCGCAGGAGTTTAAAATTTAAAAGTGAACTAAATGTGTTTTATCTGTCATGTCACCAGATATTCCTAAACTGATAGACTTGATTTATATAAGTACTTCACCCTACAATACACCAGCTTCCATGGTATACTGTATAACCTGCTGGGACTCCCTGCACCCCTTTGAATTTGATAAAGATGATTCAGGGAAATGTGCAAATCTAAAAACAAGAACGAACTGGGTGCACCGGCTCCTCCCACATGGAAGAAAAATATATTTGAAATATATTTTAAAAATATCCTTCCCAAATATACTGCCATATATTTTAAATGCTACAATTTTGGCCATATTCAATATATTTCAAAATATATTTCAATAAATATATATATATATATATATATATATATATATATACTTCATGTTGAAATGTGTTTTTATTACAAAAATATATAAAAAATATTTTTAAAAATACATTTCAAATATACTGTATGTCTTTAAAAATACAAATCTACATTTTTGGAATGCATTTACAAATATATGTTAAAATGACTTGTTTATATGTTAAACAAAATCTGAAGAATAGATGAACATGAAGTGTGTATATATATATATATATATATATATATATATATATATATATATTGAATATGGCCAAAATTTTAGCATTTCAAATATATGTCAATATATTTGGGAAGAATATTTTTAAAATATATTTCAAATACATTTTTCTTCCAGATGGGCTATTTGGCAGCACTCCACAAAATGGGCCTTTCTTCAGGATAAGAGAAAGGTCCCAGAGTTGAGAGGGACAAATAAACACCCAAGTGTCCAAGGTGTTGTTTTGGGGGGGGTTTGCTGCATTCACTAACACTGGCTTAACCTGCCCTTACGAAATGATTCCAAGTAGTAAATCAAAGTGGAGATCTATTTAGTATCAGCTTTCCTGAGTTTTTGTGTAGGCAAAGTCATAATTCCTAAACAATGATGAAGTCGGAGTTTGTTTGGCCACTGAAATGTGTTGTTTTTATCTGCTATGATGTCTAAATCAGACCTACCTAAGAGCACCATAGATGTTTGTCAAATCATTCCATCAGTAGCAGTCACGCCGTCAAGTGCTTTTTTTATCCTGGGGATTTATATGAGGTATATCACAGCCAAAGAATAGATAAATAGTATTTTTTTGGATAATCAATGAATATAGATATTCCAACAACAATTGATTAATAAATACGGTTATAATTTTATTGTAAATAGTAAATACACATAATTGTAGACTTAATAATCAATGAATACAAATCACATTCCAGTAATAAACACAATTGTAAATGAATAATCCATAGATCAACATCTCATAACATATAAAATTCAGGTAAAATAATATTAGGCTAGCACATAAATATTCCGAATATTAATACATGATTGTATAGAGATCGCATCCAAATGCATCGCGTTTTTGGATTCATTCTCTATGCCAGTGTTTCTCAACCTTTTTTCAGTCAAGGCACCCTTTAAAATGATGGCCAATCTTGAGGCACCCCATTCTAAAATGCGAAAAACTATTCGTATAGTTTTATATAACGCAGCAACATCCACACATGTAGGATACCCAACATTAGAGGTGATTTATTCTTCCAAAGCAAATACAATTTTGCACCCTGGTACTGACTAGTATTCCAATGTTTCTCTTCTCCCTGACGATGTTATTGGTTGTCAGGACGCTGGCTAGAAGGTCATAATGGTGCACAACCTGTGACTCTGTGTAACTAAAAGGCAGGCTTGTTCCACCCACTGGCTTATATACAAGTTTTGGGCAATTTTTAGACATTTTGCCAAGGCACCCCTGAAGAAATCTCAAGGCACCCCAGGATGCCTGGGCACCCTGGTTAAGAAAGGCTACTCTATACAATCATGTAATACTATTCAGAATATTTATGTCTCTGGATTATTAATTTACTGTTGTGTTTATTAACTATTTATTGCTGTAATGTGATTTGTATCCTTTGATTAAGTCTGCAGTTATGTGTATTTACTATTGACTATTACATTTCTAACCATCAATTTCTGTTGGAATGATATCTATATCCATTGATTATCAAAGAATTGTTTTGCTATATGCACTAATTATTCCTTGGCTGTGTTACACTTCACATAAGTTTTGTAGGATAGTATATGCAGCCTCTGCTATTTACCAAGCAGGTTTTATTGACAACCTAAGTTAATGACATTGTGACTGTTCCAGGTTCTTTTGAATGTTATGACTGACTGTAGGTTCTTGTATGGGTATGCTTGTCCAAATCTGCATGAATACACTTCTAGACCCGGAGCTAGTTTGTCTTAAATAGTGCCTAGACTTATGGTTGTGACTACACTAGGGACATGAACAGGTGAAACTACTACTGTTGCCAGGGCCCCCTGACCTTGAATGCTGCAAATAACCTAGTTACTATACCGTATGGTGTAAGCACAGTACTCTCCCGAAAAAAAAACTGAAATCTCCATCATAGCAAAGACAATTATGCTGATAGTAGCTAAATAATAATTTATTTGACAATCTCCACAAATATATATATTGGTTAAACATTTGTACACTGTACATTTATTCAAGTAGAGTTATAATGACATTGTCATGGACTCCCTGCCACAGCATCTCTCCTTCAAAGTCCAGGTATCCGTGTTTTCGAGCTCTCAGGAGGATGCCAACCACTTTGTCCGAGATGCGCACATATCGGTCAAACAACCTCCCAAAAGTCACTCTAATCTTCCCATCTCGGCCTTGAACTCCCACTTCCTTAATTATTAGGCACATTTCCTCCATCTCTTTGTGTATGTGTTGTAGCGCTCTCTTTCCCCTGGCTTCTGTTTTGCTGCCTTCCTCCGGTCTACCATACCCTTCATCGCCCTTGTGAAGTCGGACCTCCATGGCATGCTGGTAATCAAACTCATCGCTGAATGGATTGAGCCTCTGTTTTTTCCACGTGTTCTTCAGACCGGCTCTGCCATTCCTTCCGCAGGTCAGATATGGTTACAAGTTTGATCTGTAAGAAGAGAATATTTGTGTAATTAAAAACAACTTAGCAATTAAAATGCTCCACACATACGGTATCCTGGATTTGGTCACAGACCACCTTACATGCCCTCAAAAAGCTTGTTTATGTTATGTAAAGGAATGGATTTAAAATAAAAGGGGTGCAAATAATCCACTGCTTGACCAATAAACGAAAAATATCTCAGTTGTTTCTGCAAGACATCTTGCAGATGTTCATTATTGTCATCAGAGAGTGCTGTAGGTTTCAACCAATTTACTAGATTAACCACCAGAATTACCTAGAAGAAATGCCTTGTTATCAAATACAAAGCAGTGTTATCTTTGTAACCCTGTACGTTTAGCAGGATTGGGTAATGATTGCTTTGTCAGTGGCTACAGTCAGATCAGACCTTAACTGGCAACCTGCCTGGCAGACCTGCTTGGGGACAGAAACATTTTTTGGCCAGTAGATTCTTGTTCCCCTTGGATAAGAGCAGCATAGATGTGAATGTTCAGCACAACAAAATCAACATGCCTGTCTGTATGCATATCAATGAAAGGTTAGAGCACATTATAATGGGATTGTTCTAAAACAGGGGTGTCAAACTGGCGGCCGTCCAGCTGTTGCCAAACTACAATTCCCATGAGGCATTGCAAGATTGACAATTATAAGCATGACTTCTAAAGGCAGAGGCATAATGGGACTTGTAGTTTGGCAACAGGTGGAGGGCCGCCAGTTTGACACCCCTGTTCTAAAACATTGGACCTCGGTCTGTGGTAGTCTTTATTTATTTTATTTTTTACTGAATTTGGCCACACTTACCCAGAAGAGGCCAAAAATGGAAGGTAAAATAAAGAAAACGTTATTTTATACACAATTTGTATATGTTGAAGCTTTTGCTGCTCCCTCTAACCCTGCTGTCCCAGGGCCATGAGTCCACAACAGGGGCGGACTGACCATTTGGAAACTCAGGCACTGCCCGAGGGCCGGGGGTCAGTAGGGGGCCCTTTGAGATGCCCCTGGTACCTTTTTCATAGGCTTTTTTGAGTTTAGGCAAGGAAACAGGGGGCCCCATGATCCCCTATTGCCCGGGGACCCCATGAGTTGTCAGTCCGCCCCTGGTCCACAAGTGTCATTATGGTAGTTTGCGCCTGGAGGCTATACAGAACCCCATTCTAAACTAAGGGAGACATTCAAAAGTGTACCAATGGAAAGGAAACATAAGGGAAGATTTACCAAAACTGGATCACTCAGAATCTGGTGCAGCTGTGCATGGCGGCCAATCAGCTTCTAACTTCACCTTGTTGAATTAAGCTTTGACAATAAAACTTGGAAGCTGATTGGTTTCTATGGAGAGCTGCAGCAGATTTTGCCCCATGCAGTTTTAGTAAATAACCCCCATAAGGTCATTGAGGGATTATTTCTCATTATGACCACATTGATTGTCCTTTCAAGTCAATATTAATACAAAACTGTTACTAAAAACTGAAAAGCAAGAACAGTATAAATTAAAAACAGATGTGATCTGTATTTTTAGAAAATAATTCTTAGAGGGTCTTTTGTAGTTATATCCAGGCTGTATCTCTTTTTGTATGGCTACTTTTTTGTTCTCCCCTTGTAATGGTTGAACTAGATGGATGTGTGTCTTTTCTTCAACCGGACTGTGTAACTATGTAACCTTAGTGGGTGGCATTAGATGCCATGTGTATTAGTTTGAACATTACTTACATTCACTGGCCACTTTATTAGGTAGACCTGTTCAATAGCTCGGTAACACAAAATGCTAGTCAGCCAACCACATGGCAGCAACCTAATGCATTTAGGCATCTAGTTGTGGTGAAGACGACTTGCTGAAGTTCAAACCGAGCATCAAAATGGGGAAGAAAGGTACCGTAATTGTAAGTGACTTTGAACGTGATCCTGGCCTGGTCACTGCAGGGATATACACTCACCGACCACTTTATTAGGTACACCTGTTCAATTGCTTGGTAACACAAATTACTAATCAGTCAATCACATTACAGTAACTCAATGCATCTAGACGTGGTGAAGACAACTTGCTGAAGTTCAAATTGAGCACTGGAATGAGGAAGAAAGGGGATTTAAGTGATTTTGAATGTGGCATGGTTGCTGGTGGCAGACGGGCTGGTCTGAGTATTTCAAAAACTGCTGATCTTCTGGGATTTTCACACACAACCATCTCTAGGGTTTACAGAGAATGGTCTGAAAAAGAAAAAATATTCAGTGAGTGGCAGTTGTGTGAATGAAAATGCCTTGTTGAGGTCAGAGGAGAATGGGCAGATGGTTGCTACCATATTCAGATGGTGGGGTCAGAATTTGGCATAAACAACATGAAAGCATGGATCCATCCTGCCGTATATCGACAGTTCAGGCTGGTAGTGGTGGTGTAATGGTGTGGGGGAGATTTTCTTGGCACTAGCAATATGTAACTAATAAAGTGTCCAGTGAGTGTATATAAAATATAAAACAATACATCTGGATTGCTTCAAAAAAGTCCTGGATTGTTTCTTAGATAAACAGAATATAACTGGATATAACATTTATAGGTAAAGTTGATCCAGGGAATATCTGATACCTCTCGGGGATCAGGAAGGAATTTTTTTCCTAGCAGGAGCAAATTGGATCGTGCTTTTCTGAGTTTTTTTGCCTTCTTCTGGATCAACTGTGGGTGTAGGATTATAACTTTATTTTTTTTTCTATGGTTGAACTGGATGGACTTTTGTCTTTTTTCAGCCAGACTAACTATGTAACATCTGTGTTATCTTCAGCATTTTAACTTAGAAATATGATTCTGCATACAAACTTTAGGAGTCCTTACCTTAGACAGAAGAGCCTTCCTTCGTTCCTCGGCTGAAGACTGACAATCAACATGGTCCTTATTTTCAGACATTGTACTGCCTTGGTCTCTAAATATTGAGTAATCTGACATCCGGGTTGGTCAGCAAAGACTGAACATTAAAACATCTCCATTGATCTAGATGAATGATGTCTACGGAGAATTATAAGATATTGCCGTTGTCTTTGTTTTTTTTTTTCTCTGTTTTTTTTCCTTCAGCTATCTTCACAGCACAATCAAAGGGAACATAAAGAACAGTAGCCTCTCTTTGTAAGAGAATGCAGAGGCCTTCAATCAAAAGTTAGGTCACAGCTAGACAAATCCCAAGAGCCAGGAAGCCAATAAGGCTAAAAAGTTATATTTCACACTTCAGCTTTTTCTGTAGCCGGTGGAAACTCCATGTGCTCCGTCTCCGTAAAACCTTTTTTTTTTTTTACGTCTTAGACTGACCGGCTCCTGAATTCTGTATATCTGCCTACGCTGTTTCTTTATTGTCTTCATTGAGCGGCATTAGTCCATGGTGTCCTCTCTATATAGGGGAGAACCGATCCCTGTGGCATGAAAGGCATCCAAGTGCTGTCATTCTAAACTTACAGAGCAACAGATGGGACGTGAAAAAAAAAGGCTTCATTTTACAGAGGTGCTAAGACCTTGCATCATACTAATCATGTGTTTCCTTTATAATTAATGAGGAATGTACACGCCAGTGTGTAATGTAAATCCATCACCAACTATATGTCCTTCTCATAGGAACACAGACTTTGTTATAGGCATCTTTTTTAGTGTACATTTTGTATCTGAACCGTTTATACTGTTTTTGTTCAGAGGTTTGATTCCCCAAGGTCAGAAACCATTCTAATCTCTCCATCTGTTTGTACTTCCCAGTTATTCCTCTCCAACTTGGCTAACTGAAATATGCGTGTTTGAGTTTGTACATACATGGGGACAAAGGGCTTTAAATATATTTTTTGGGTGTTTTTTTCATTTGGTTTATGAAAGTTTAATTTATGTAAACAATTTTTCTTTTTTATCTTGCTATGACAAGGATAGAGTTATGTTAAAAAAAAGATGGTTGATAAGCCCCTTATGTGAGAACATTGTGTCTATTAAACCCCTAATGTCACCTCTGTACTATGCTGGAGGTGATTGAACACAGACTGAACTTGATCAGCTTCTTCTTCAGCCATAGCAGCCGGTTTAACACCTCTGAAGCTGAAGGCTTTTGGGTTCAGAACAGGGGCGGACTGACAACTCATGGGCCCCCCGGGCAATAGGGGATTATGGGGCCCCTGTGTCCTTGTCCAAACTCAGAAAAGCCTATGAAAAAGGTACCAGGGGTATCTCATGGGGCCCCCTACTGACCCTGGGCTCTCAGGCAGTGCCCGAGCTTCCAAATGGTCAGTCCGCCCCTGGTTCAGACTACTAGGTGCCAGGGGTGGACTGACAACTCATGGGGCCCCCGGGCAACAGGGGATCATGGGGCTTCCGGGCAACAGGGGATCATGGGGCCCCTGTGTCCTTGCCCAAACTCAAAAAAGCCTATGAAAAAGGTACCAGGGGCATCTCATGGGGCCCCCTACTGACCCCGGGCCCTCGGGCAGTGCCCGAGTTTCCAAATGGTCAGTCCGCCCCTGCTAGGTGCATTAGGTTGACTCAAGCCCTTGACCTGAGGAGCTGCAACTATTCATAGTGGCTTTTTAGTGACGTTTTTGTTGAACTCTCATTAACTTTAGGCCCTTTCTTATTTACCTTTAGGCCTACTTGTTTTTTTTTTCACTTATTAAACCCACAACAGTACAATCAGTCTGTAGATGCAGTAAAGCATGCTTGTTATACTCACTGTGGCACCTAAGGGGTTAATCCTCTGCATTGTGTAAAAAGGCCATTTGATGCTGACTTCTCTGCACCTCCTCTTATTCAGATGTCCACCTG